GGATTGAAGAGTTCAAGCCTCCCAAGACTCATTGAAGCCTTGGGACTCTGATCCAGGACTACCAAACCCAAAGAAATCTGAAAACTCAGTCTTCTCTAGTCAGACACAACACTCCGGAGCCCTGCACTTTGCATTCGTGAAAACCCTTTGTTGCTTTTCCCCATACTCACACAGTGGCAGGGACAAGCACTGTCACAATAGGCTTTGCATTTTTTTTGCCTCCATAGAAGAACAACTTACAGTGAAATTTAAGGACACACTGGTTAGAATTCCTAAAGTAGTTTGTGCCTCTGACTCTCCCAAAATGGTGAGATTTCCCGGCAGTAGTTTGTGTCTCTGCCCCTCCCACAATGGTGACATGATGGGGACATTTCATATTTCCTTATTAAAGTTGTCTCTCAATATCTAAGAAAGAAAGCCTCCAATATCCTGGTTACCTTAGCTGTCTTCATACCAAAGGAACGTCATTACAAACTGACCAAGACCTTATTGTTGCTTGCAAGGGGAGGGGGCCGGGAATTGGTCATTTCCTTACATTCAAGACTTATATACACTACAACTAAAACTTGGAAGGGTCAGTCTCATCTTCAGAGCTGCATCATGATGTGTCTGGTCTTATCATCTGTGCCATACCTTGTAAGTGGGCGGGACCCCATGGCAAAAAGGCATCTTTAGTTAATTACACAGGTCTGTGACTAAAAAGCTGTTTGATTATTTTCATCTAATGTCCATGTATTTTGGTGTTTTGAAAACAAATAAAATATTGAAAAAACTCCTAGACGTCATGATTTGCCACAAAATGCTAAATTGTCTTCAAATTTATAATTTTTTAAACATTTTTGCTATTTTCTTTATATTATGGGTTTTTAACCAAATTTAAAGTCCAAATTACTATTAATTAATTCACATAAGTGAATTTAAGAACTAAAATGCCAAAAAAACTTTAAAGGGGTTGTCCGAGTTATGTAAAAAAAAATATAGCACTGTAAATCTGATGGTCAGCAATATATACATAAGCTAAGCAAGTTTTAGGGAAAAAAAAAATTCTATTTCCTCATTTTCCTAGTTCTCTTCTGTCCCTTTGTTGTTATTTGCAGGTAAACAATTTCTGCCCCTCCCCCCTGCAAAGGGGCTGAATACAAGTGCTGCTCTGAGTGACATGTCTGACTACTGGGATACTCAGCAGCATGCTGTATGTGTAAGCCTCAGCCCTGAGCATGTGCTTCTAATATTAGAAGGGGTTAATCTTTCCTGAAGAATCCAGTGGGTGGGATACCAAATACCCTTGTTTTCTGTGTCTATGGGACAGTCGAGACCGACAAATTCACTGGACCAAGAAGAGTTGGCAGCCGAGGGTGCTAACAGTCAGTGAAAAAAATGTCCTCCGAGAAACTTTGGTACTTTCCCATAATGTTCTTCTACCACCTCTCCACATAAAATTGGGATTGATGAAGCAATTCGTAAAATCACTTCCAAGAGATGGAGAATGCTTCAAATACTTGGTCACCAAGTTTCCAGGTCTGTCGGAGGCAAAATTGAAGGAAGGTGTGTTCGTCGGACCAGATATTAGAAGGCTTATACTTAATCAAGAGTTTGTCAATACCATGACGGATCCTCAAAAAGAAGGGTGGATTACATTTAAAGAAGTCGTACAGAAATTTTTAGGCAATAACAAAGATCCTCACTATAAAAAAGATCGTCGGATGACTACTGAAAGCATTTCAATCTTTAGGTTGCCTGATGAGTTTGAAAGTACATTTCCTCCAGTCCCACCTTGACTACTTTCTGAAAATTTGGGAGCTGTGAGTGAGGAACAAGGTGAATGATTCCACCAAGACATTAAAGAGATGGAAAGGAGATACCAGGGAAAATGGAGCATTACAATGATGGCAGACTACTGTTTGATGCTTCAGAGAGACATTCCAGCTACTCACAAGCGTAAATGCACCAAGAGGAGCCTCACAGGGAAGAAGAATCGAGTTTAGTGTGTGTAGGTCAGCTCATTTCAGTTCAAAAAAGGATTTTCATGAAAAAATTGTAATAAAACTTTAATTTTATAAGTCTATTTCCATTTATTTTGAGGTATTGCCTTATTTAACATAGTTACCTAAATTGTCAGGAAACGTGATGTCCTATGACAAAATGGAGGTCATTTTCGGATTCAGTGCACCAAAATACATAAAGATTACGTGGAATAACCAAAACAGCTCTTGAAAAAAATTTTTTGCAGACCTGTGTTATTCTTGTTATATTTTCTAATATTATCACATTTGTTATCTGTATCTGTCATTACTTGATTAAATGTTATACCTACAAGTGTTTGTGTGATTGCTCTTTGCACATCTTGAATAAATAATAACAATAAAAAATTGCTGCGCTACATCTAAAACTGCATACACCTCTGAAATATATAAGCAAAGAATGGTGATAGCAAACAACTAAAAATAATGACACCAAAAAAATTTTTTTAATAAAACAAATATATAATCTCCCCAAAAAAAAATATAAACAATGTATAAAAAAATAAAAAATATATATCACAGTTCAAAATTTTGGACTGTGATATATAATTTTTATTTTTTTTATATATTGTTTATATTTTTTTAGGGGGACTATAAATTTATTTTACTTTTTGGTGTCATTATTTATTTTTTTTTTTTTTTTGCTATCAGCATTCTTTTTTTTATATATTTTAGAGGTGTATGTATTTTTAGATGTAGCGCAACAATTTTTCATTGTTATTATTCATTATTTAGCCCATTGAGACATGGGTTGTATGCACTTAACAGCTACAGTATTCATATATATATATATATATATATATATATATATATATAATATTTTGTATTCATCATAGTAAGCGCTTGAGTTTATTCGCATTTTATTATCACATCTCAAATAAAACCCCCAAAACATTAACCATCATGTATCCGTGGCAACCTATGACATTTCCCTGCAGTAGTTTGTGTCTCCCTTCTTATGGTGTTCTAATAAATACTACATACCATAAGTTTTATTAATAAATACATTCATCGTATAAAATCTCCAGTTGGGGCAGCCTCTATGCCATGGCATTGGTCATGATTCATTGTAAAATATTCCTGAGATTGTACACTACCCATTACGGCTTTGCCAACTGGACCACAATTCAACAGATAGCTATGGATTTGGTTCTAAGAAATGATCTTTACGTATTTTTGTTAACACGACTGAAAATGACCTTTGACAACAAGCTCAGATGGATGGAAATTCATCCCCCCCCCTCCCACACAAACACTAACAACATCAAGAGGAATGTATCTTTTATTATTGATGGGCATCAACCAATGAAGAATGTAGGTTAATGAGCTGGAAATTGCAAGTGCACTAAAGTCATCTTTATTTGGGATCTATACAACTGACAGAGAGCAAATACAGCAGGGGTTTCCAAATGCTTCTGGTTGGGTCTATAGTCCTGACTCGCATGCTGGCACTGTGCAACTGTTTGGAAGTAGGAAATACTCGGATTTCATTGCAATGTAAAATGTTGGCCAGAACCAATGTTTTCCTATAGACTTTCTCAGACTGTAAATATGGAAGAGCTTCAGATGTTAGGGAAAGCCCAACTGAATTAACCTTTTTTTTAACAAACTTGTCTGAAACAAAATCAGGTCCCGTCAATGCCTTGAAGCTCAGCGTGATGCAACTTTTGGTTCTGGTGCCGCACAAGAGATGACTTACACACAAAGCCCTTCCCACACTCAGGGCAGGAAAACGGCCTTTCCCCAGTGTGGGTCCTCTCGTGGATATGGAGGTCTGAGCGGTTTCGGAAGCACTTTCCACAGAGGGAACACGAATGAGGTTTCTCCCCAGTGTGAGTGCGCTGATGCGAAATGCGATGGGAGCTGCTGACGAAGGATCGGCCACACTCAAAGCAGGGATAGGGCTTCTCCCCTGTGTGGATTCTCTGGTGGACGATGCAGTCAGAGCTGCTGCTAAAGCATTTGCCGCACATGGCACAGGAAAAGGGCTTTTCCCCCGTGTGCGTCCTGATGTGGATGGCCAGGTTTGATTTCCGGCTGAAGGTCTTCTTGCATTGCGTGCAGGCATACGGCTTCTCTACAGAGTGCATCCTATGATGGACAGCCAAATCTGAGGTATTTAGAAAGCATTTTCCACACTGCAAACAGGTATAGGTCTTTCTTCCAGGGGGGTTCTTCTGGTGTCTACCAACCAGTGGCCTACCATAGACACTACAGGAAACTGGTTTATGTACCATGAAATGGTCTTCAAGATCAGAATCAGAGAATTGACGCTCAAACCTCTCAAAACTTTGAGAAGTATGAGAAGCCAGTTCACGATCAAAGTTATCATAATGATATTGGGTCACTGAATGGCCAGTGTCCATAAAGTCTTCTTCAGCCAAGAGGGTTTCCTCTTTAATCTGAGAAGCTGGATATTGTATTCGATGTATGAAGTCATCAGAGCATTGGAGATCTTCTTCATCTTGACATGATGCCAGTGTCTTGGTGACGTTCTCTAGAGTGTGGGTCTTGATTTGTTCTTGTGGTGAGGATTTCGCAGTTAAATGATTGACTTTGACCTCGGGATCTTCACTTAAACAGTCCTTTGATGGAAAAATGAGGACGTGGGACTCTCTAAAGAGTAAGTCTGTTGAAGAGAGAAATACATAGTGGTGAGATGGTGGAAAAGGATAAACCTAATCATCAGTGAAGGGGGTTCAAGGAATTAACTCGTCATGTACAGTACAGTATATAATAAAGGGTTAGAAAATTGGTGATAGGATAAAATCAAATGTCACCTTTCCAAAATAAATAGATGAAAAGTCTCTTACCCGGTGATGTGAGGGGCGGCTGATTCTCCATCATGACGTCCTTGTAGAGATCCTTGTGTCCTTCTAAATACTCCCACTCCTCCATGGAGAAATAGACAGTGACATCCTGACACCTTATAGGAACCTGACACACACAATGATACAGTCACCATCCAGACACATCCCTTTTCTGTTACTGGAGAATGTCCCAGAATTCCCGGCACCGCTCACCTCTCCTGTCAGCAGATCCATCATCCTCTGGGTGACTTCTAGAATCTTCTCCTTATTCTTTCTTTCAGGTATCAGGAAGGGAGTTAGAGGCACTGTAACAGTTATATGGTCTCCAGACTTGTTCATTATCTGTGGGAACATCAAGAGTGATGTCATTTGACCTCCCAGAATCCTCCTCACCTCTCCAGTCAGGTCTGTGTTTTATTAATAGAGATAAGAGTGATGTCATGTGACATCCCAGAATCCTCCTCACCTCACCGGTCAGGTCTGTGTTTTATTATTAGAGATGAGTGAGGTCATGTGAACTCCCAGAATCCTCCTCACCTCTCTGGTCAGGTCTGTGATTATTAATAGAGATAGGAGTGACATCATGTAACCTCCCAGAATCCTCCTCACCTCTCCGGTCAGGTCTGTGTTTTATTAATAGAGATAAGAGTGATGTCATGTGACCTCCCAGAATCCTCACCTCTCCGATCAGGTCTGTGTTTTATTAATAGAGATGAGAGCGATGTCATGTGACCTCCCAGAATCCTCCTCACCTCTCCGGTCATGTCTGTGATTTATTGAGATGAGTGACGTCATGTGACCTCCCAGAATCCTCCTCTCCTCTCCGGTCAGGCCTGTGTTTTATTAATAGAGATAAGAGTGGTGCCCTCTTTTCCCTCTTGTATTGAACTGTATTGTTGCTGTATTGTTTCCCGTTATATTGTAAAGCGTTGAGCAAACTGTTAGCGCTATATAAATTCTGTATAATAATAATAATGTCATGTGACCTCCCAGAATCCTCCTCACCTCTCCAGTCAGCAGGTAGATGATCTCCAGGGTGAGGTTTAATATCTTTTCAGTCATGTGACTCCTCTCCTTCTTCATTGCTATCTCTGAAATTCCCTTGACTTACAGAAGACTCTTCAATACATTTATTGCCATCCGACTTTTTCAGTTCTACTATAAATATAACCCAGATACAAACATAATACAGTTTAATTTCTATCCAGCCTGTCTGTCCATTACATAGATGTTGGCAGTCCCGATATGGGGATTTGGTAAGGGCAGTGGAATAAAAAAAAACAACCCACAGAACGGGGCAAGAGGGATGGGGAGGGGAGAAGGGTTTATATACCTGGGGGGTGGGGGGAAGAGAAGGGGGGAAGGGTTTGTATACCTGGAGAGGTAGGGGTGAGAGAAGGGGGGAAGGGTTTATATACCTGGGGGGTGGGGGGGAGAAGGGTTTATATATCTGGAGGGTGGGGGGGGGAGGGGGGAAGGGTTTGTATACCTGGGGGGGTAGGGTTTATATACCTGGGGGGTGGGGGGGAGAGAAGGGGGAAGGGTTTGTATACCTGGGGGGGTGGGGGGAAAGAAGGGGGGAAGGGTTTGTATACCTGGGGGGGTAGGGGGGGAGAGAAGGGGGAAGGGTTTGTATACCTGGGGGGTGGGGTGGAGAGAAGGGTTTGTATACCTGGGGGGGTAGGGGGGGGAAAAGGGGGAAGGGTTTGTATACCTGGGGGGTGGGGTGGAGAGAAGGGGGAAGGGTTTGTATACCTGGGGGAGTAGGGGGGGGGAGAGAAGCGGGGAAGGGTTTATATACCTGGGGGGTGGGGTGGAGAGAAGGGGGGAAGGGTACAGAAAGGGGGGGAAGGGTTTGTATACCGGGGGGTGGGGGGGGGGGATGGGAGAGAAGGGGGAAGTGTTTATATAAACACAGATACCTTTTGGTCACCAAAATTATAATTTGGTATGAGCTGCAAGAGGCCCAGCCAGATCAACTTCGGAAATGACTGACATCTATGGACATGCAGGGGGGTGTCTCTGATAAAAGATAAAATCACAATCTATTTATTAAATATATACCAATGTCATAAAATACTAAACCCACTACACAGAATAATAGATGTGTGATGGAATGCATAACCTGTAGGTGAGATCAGCTCTCCCTCCTTCCCCTATACACTCCAACTGACATTTGTCTGCATCTGTTTCTTCCATCCTAACATCAGTCCTCTGGCATCATCTACTACTGCCTAGCCATTATTACACTTAAAGGTCCAGCTGAATGCTGGGAACTGGAATGAACAGACTACAACAACCACAGTGCATTGCTGAGACCATTCCCCACTGTGGGGAATCTGCACTGTGCGTTCCAAAATACTTCCGGTATTTGCGTTCCACAAGGAACGCCCTCGTGTGGTCAGTCTGAAGAATGCAACTTTGCAGTGTTTGAAGTTTTGAAATAGATTATGTTGTAGAGGTGCACTGCCATCTTGTGGTAGTTTTGCTAAATGCAGGTATAATAATAAGCAATATTATATAATATATTAAGAAATTATTAATATGCAGGTATAATAACAGCAAAAATAATAATAATTGCTATTTTGCTATTATTATTATTATTAATAAAATTAACAATAATGAAAAACACTATTACTACTACTAATCATAATAATAATAAAAAATAAAATTTCTATTTATATATAATGTATATTTTATTATAATAATTTTCTGATTTATAATATGTATTATAATTATTGTTGTTATTATTATTATTATTAGTAGTAGTAGTGTTTATTATTGTTAATTTTATTAATAACAATATTAATTATAGCAATAATTATTATTGCTACTATTAATAATAAGAATAAGAATAAACAATAATACTACTAAAAATAATTAAAAAAATTATGATGATAATAAAATAGAATAATAATTATTATTTACAATAATAACAATACTAATAACATTATTATTATTAATAATAATAATAATAAGGGCTCCTCCCCTTCAGTCTTGTACACTTTTACTGGCTCCTCCCCTTCAGTCTTTCAGTTTTACCGGCTCCTCCCCTTCAGTTTTGCACAGGTGTACTGGCTCCTCCCCTTTAGTCTTGCACAGGAGTACCGGATCCTCCCCTTCAATCTTGCGCAGGTGTATCAGCTCCTCCCCTTCAGTCTTTCACAAGTGTACTGGCTCCTCCCCTTTAGTCTTGAACAGGTGTACCAGCTCCTCCCCTTCAGTCTTTCACAAGTGTACAGCCTCCTCCCCTTCAGTCTTGCACAGGTGTATCAGCTCCTCCCCTTCAGTTCTGCACAGGAATACCGGCTCCTCCCCTTAAGTCTTTCACAGGTGTACTGGCTCCTCCCTTTTAGTGTTGTAGTTGTACTGGCTCCTCCCCTTCAGTCTTTCACAGAAGTACTGGCTCCTCCCTTTTAGTCATGTAGTTGTACTGGCTCCTCCCCTTCAGTCTTTCACAGGTGTACAAGCTCCTCCCTTTCAGTCTGGTAGTTGTACTGGCTCCTCCCTTTCAGTCATGCAGTTGTATCGGCTCCTCCCCTTCAGTCTTTCACATGTATTTACTGACTCCTCCCCTTCAGTCTTTCACAGTTGTACTGGCTCCTCCCCTTCAGTCCTGCACAGGTGTATCAGCTCCTCTCCTTCAGTGTTTCACAAGTGTGCCGGCTCCTCCCCTTTAGTCTTGAAAAGGTGTACTGGCTCCTCCCCTTCAATCTTGCATAGGTGTATTGGCTCCTGCCCTTCAGTTCTGCACAGTTGTACCGGCTCCTCCCCTTCAGTCTTGTACAGGTGTCCCGGAACCTCCCCTTCAGTCTTGCACAGGAGTCTCAGCTTCTCCCCTTCAGTCTTGCACAGGAGTCCCAGCTCCTCCCCTTCAGTCTTGCACAGGAGTCCCGGCTCCTCCCCTGGACTGGCTTACTTTGGTTTCACTGCACTAAGTCAGTCAGAGCCCACCCCATTTCCTAGCTGGAGGACCTCCAGCATCATCTATCACTTTTCTCTCCAACCTGCCTCTCCCTGGCCTGCCTCTTTCATTTATTGGATCTCTTTCAATCATGGAGGTTCAGCATCACATGTGGGCATTACCAAGGCAGCTGCAGCCTGCCTAGGAATGGCCACTGCTTGCATCATGGCTGAGGGCTCAAGAGGAGTACTGAAGCAGGGTGCTGTGATATTCTCAGGAAGCTATGTACAGCACCCTGCCAGCCCCTCCCACCAGCCATGATCTGCCTGCATTGCATAGAGAAGCACTGAGACCTAGGAATGCCCATTCCTCCAGACTGACATCCTGGCATATACAGTCAGGTTCATAAATATTGGGACATCAACACAATTCTAACATTTTTGGCTCTATACACCACCACAATGGAGTTGAAATGAAACTAACAAGTTGTGCTTTAACTGCAGACTGTCAGCTTTAATTTGAGGGTATTTACATCCAAATTGGGTGAACGGTGTAGGAACAACAGTTTGCATATGTGCCTCCCACTTGTTAAGGGACCAAAAGTAATGGGACAATTGGCTTCTCAGCTGTTCCATGGCCAGGTGTGTGTTATTCCCTCATTATCCCAATTACAATGAGCAGATAAAAGGTCCAGAGTTCATTTCAAGTGTGCTATTTGCATTTGGAATCTGTTGCTGTCAACTCTCAAGATGAGATCCAAAGAGCTGTCACTATCAGCGAAGCAAGCCATCATTAGGCTGAAAAAACAAAACAAACCCATCAGAGAGATAGGAAAAACATTAGGTGTGGCCAAAACAACTGTTTGGAACATTCTTAAAAAGAAGGAACACATCGGTGAGCTCAGCAACACCAAAAGACCCGGAAGACCACGAAAAACAACTGTGGTGGATGACCGAAGAATTCTTTCCCTGGTGAAGAAAACACCCTTCACAACAGTTGGCCAGATCAAGAACACTCTCCAGGAGGTAGGTGTATGTGTGTCAAAGTCAACAATCAAGAGAAGACTTCACCAGAGTGAATACAGAGGGTTCACCACAAGATGGAAACCATTGGTGAGCCTCAAAAACAGGAAGGCCAGATTAGAGTTTGCCAAACGACATCTAAAAAAGCCTTCATAGTTCTGGAACAACATCCTATGGACAGATGAGACCAAGATCAACTTGTACCAGAGTGATGGGAAGAGAAGAGTATGGAGAAGGAAAGGAACTGCTCATGATCCTAAGCATACCACCTCATCAGTGAAGCATGGTGGTGGTAGTGTCATGGCGTGGGCATGTATGGCTGCCAATGGAACTGGTTCTCTTGTATTTATTGATGATGTGACTGCTGACAAAAGCAGCCGGATGAATTCTGAAGTGTTTCGGGCAATATTATCTGCTCATATTCAGCCAAATGCTTCACAACTCATTGGACGCCGTTTCACAGTGCAGATGGACAATGACCCAAAGCATACTGCAAAAGCAACCAAAGAGTTTTTTAAGGGAAAGAAGTGGAATGTTATGCAATGGCCAAGTCAATCACCTGACCTGAATCCGATTGAGCATGCATTTCACTTGCTGAAGACAAAACTGAAGGGAAAATGCACCAAGAACAAGCAGGAACTGAAGACAGTTGCAGTGGAGGCCTGGCAGAGCATCACCAGGGATGAAACCCAGCGTCTGGTGATGTCTATGCGTTCCAGACTTCAGGCTGTAATTGACTGCAAAGGATTTGCAACCAAGTATTAAAAAGTGAAAGTTTGATTTATGAATAGTATTCTGTCCCATTACTTTTGGTCCTTTAGCAAGTGGGAGGCACATATGCAAACTGTTGTAATTCCTATACCGTTCACCTGATTTGGATGTAAAGCCCCTCAAATTAAAGCCAACAGTCTGCAGTTAAAGCACATCTTGTTTGTTTAATTTCTAATCCATTGTGGTGGTGTATAGAGCCACAAATGTTAGAATTGTGTCGATGTCCCAATATTTATGGACCTGACTGTATAAAGCCGAACTCCATGCTCAAGCAAATGTGCAGCAGACTGAACAGCTAAAGTCTGCATCACCCAGTGGTTAGCAGGGAGGAATATGCACATCTAAAGAGATGTCGGGAATGTGTTCTTTAATATAATGATAGAGGCAAATTGCTGTTGTTGGGCTGCTTTTACAGCTATTGGTTTTCTCTGCCATCAGTTGTTTTGTTTCCGAGCATTATAGGAAAGAACACATCCCCGGCATCCCTTTAGACATGCACGCTCAAGCAACTGAGCAGCAGATTGCACAGCTAAATTCTGCAGCACCCAGTAGCATGCACATCTAAAGAGATGTCAGGAATGTGTTATTTTATATAATGATAGAGGCAAATTGCTGCAACATCTACAGGGGCCCCTTTAGATGTGCATGCTCAAGAAAATGAGCAGCAGATTGCACAGAAAAAGACTGCAGCACCTAGTGGTCAGCAGGGAGGAATATGCACATCTAAACAGCTGTCGGGAATGTGTTGTTATAATGCTAGAGGGAAAGCACTATTGTTGGGAAACCTCTTACAGCTATTGGATTTCTCTGTCATCACTTGTTTTGTTCCCGAGCATTATAGGAAAGAACACATCCCCGGCATCCCTTTAGATATGCAAGTTTAAGCAACTGAGCAGCAGATTGCACAACTGAATTCTGCAGCACCCAGTAGCATGCACATCTAAAGAGATGTCGGGTATGTGTTCCTTTATATAATGATAGAGGCAAATTGCTGCTGTTGGCCGCCTCTTACAGCTACTGGTTTTCCATGCCATCACTTGTTTTGTTCCTGAGCATTATAGGAAAGAACACATCCCCGGCATCACTTTAGACATGCACGCTCAAGCAACTGAGCAGCAGATTGCACAGCTAAATTCTGCAGCACCCAGTACCATGCACATCTAAAGAGATGTCAGGAATGTGTTCTTTTATATAATGAGAGGCAAATTGCTGCAACATCTACAGTAGCCTGTTGGCCCCTACCACCAACCCTCTGAGCAAAGACCAGCAGACAGACCCAGTGATGAAGCATTTCTGGGAATTTAACTGAAAATTTTAATTTGGGGGGGGGGGGGGGGTAGGGGATATTATAAGCATACATTACATTTCACCTTTGATATGAATCACATTAAAAATAAAGACAATGTTTGTATATTTTAGAGCAGGGGTGTCAAACTGGCGGCCCTCCAGCTGTTGCGAAACTACAAGTCCCATCATGCCTCTGCCTTTGGGAGTCATGCTTGTAACTGTCAGTCTAGCAATGCCTCATGGGACTTGTAGTTTGGCAACAGCTGGAGGGCCGCCAGTTTGACCCCCGTGTTTTAGAGACATCTAATACACCAAATTTAAAATGTCAATAACTGTACCCAAGGATCATAAAAATAAGAACAGTCAGGGTAAGCTAGATGGAAAGCTCTGGTATAATTCCGTCAAGCTGCACTCCTTTTGGTTCCTTCTTGAGCTATCCCAATCCAAGCAAAAAAGCCACACTTCTTTTTTTTTTTCTTGAACAAACTTTATCGTTAGCAGTACAAGATCTCAAAAGCACCCACGCGTTTCGTCCCAGATGGTAGGGTGGCTGTTTCTATCAGAGTGAAGCACGTTGAAAGAGTAGGAGGGGGCCATGTGCAACAGGCTGGCCTTGTGATCTTGTGCTACTAGCAATACAGTTTGTTCAATTTTAAAAATGAGCAGAAACTTTTTTTGGGGGGGCGGGGGGGTACAGGTCAAAAACCTCTGGAAAGTATTGCATCTCCAACTCCATGTAAGTCCGAAGTGGGGCGGTTTTGTCCGGTGAAGCTTTAGGTGGAAGTCTGCCCTTGCTATGATGGTGGAATCATCATTTGTTGCTCTGTGTGCCGTTATATACAGGGTATAAAAAAGTCATGAGCAAATATGGTCGCCCTGTGTACATTTTTATCATTAGTAGTACAAAATCACCCACGCGTTTCGTCCCAGATGGTGGGGTGGCTATGTTTCTATCAGGGTGAAGAAGGTCGAAAGAGTAGGAGGGGGCCATGTGCTACAGTCTGGCCCTGTGATCTTGTGCTACTAGCAATAAAGTTTGTTCAACTTTTAAAGATGAGCACAAACTTTTGGGTTTTTTTTGGAGGGGGGGGGGACAGGTCAAACTACCTACGGAAAGTATTGCACCTCCGACTCCATGTAAGTCCCGTGACGCTTTCGGTATGACGGAGGAATCATCATTTGTTGTTCTGTGTGCTGCTATATACAGAGTATGAAAAAGTCATGAGCAAATATGGCCGCCGCCCCCCCCGTGGACATTGGGTAAAAATGTAAAAGAATATAAAAGGATTATAAAAGTTGACTACATATTGATGAACAGTATGTCACATGATATTGTCAGCTACAAGCCGATAGGACCATTGAAAGGGACCTTGATTCATCAATAGCATTTAAGGCACCTTCAAACAGGGTATACTACATAGTAGTGGTGCACCGAAATAAAAATTCTAGTGCTGAAACCGATGCCGAAAATGCAGAATGAATGCGGCCGAAAACCGAACCGAAACCAAAATGTCTGCGTGTGTGGGGAGGCTCCAATTTTTTTTTTTTTCTACTTTCATGTATATTTTTATTTATTTTTTAACTGATGATTTTATTGCTATCACATAGGGGACCAATAGTCCCCTATGTGATAGCATATGAATGACAGGTCCTCTTTGTAGAGGGGAGGGGGTGGGGGGCAGTGTGTGCAAGGAGGGGGCAGTGCATACAGAGAGGCTCCCTCACTGGTTGTCACTATAGGTCAGTGTCGGTTTTTAAATGCCGTTTTTTTTTTTCTTCACTATAGATTACAGAATTAGCTGTCACTTTCCCTGGAGCTAACGGAAACTTTGTTTCTTTTAT